TGAATATATAGAAATATATGTTGTAATTATTAATTCTTATATAAAAAAGTGTATTCCTACTTTGATCGCAAAATGTACCAGTAAACCCATCAGGGCATTCACATCTATACCCACACTCTCCGTTTAAATTTGTAGGAACACAAATACCACTGTTGAAACAGTACACATCACTACAAGGATTGTTATCTGTGAGAAACAGAACAATAACAATGTCACACTCACCAAATTTTTATAGCATATATAATATATTTTTAAAAACTCATTAGGTTTTATCAATCGATTAAAAGTAACAATAAATTCCATTTATTTAAAAAAAAACCATTATTTTGTTCACGTTATATACAATTTCACTAAAACAAATGATTAAGTACACTTACATATTGAGCAGTAACTGGTGAACGAATTGGAATAACAGGTCTGGCATCTACAGTACGCATGCCCGTTATTAATTTCACATGTACCATACCCGCAATGTGTATAACTACACGGGTTGTGACCAACGTGTTCTTTGAATTATAACAATGAATACATAAAATATGTAAGGTTGTTAAACGGAAATGTTATATATTCAAATAATGCATGAAAAGCTGGTAAAAATATTCGTGACAAAATATGCTTTTTGAAAATGAGATGATAATGAGAACAGCATAATTATACTGTATATGAAATATAATAATAAATTAGCATTTAATACTAAAATTAATAATAGTGCTTAATAATAATGCTGATAATAATGATAATAATATATTATTTATTATATCTTTATAAGCCTACTTTAGCATGATATAATGTTGAAACATAATATTTTCTATTTTGAAATAATGATATACCAAATCGAATAAATTTAAACTAAGACCGATGCCAACTGGAGTACATTTAAGCACATTTCTAGTAGACGGAATTTGTATGTAAAAAATGTTTGTTTTTTTTATTTTAATACAGTAACCAGCTTTTATTTATTGTATATAATATCGATGAAATTATAACACAAATGGTTGGAGGTGGTAGGCCTATCTAAACAGCAATTGAATATTGTCTGTTATTAAATCGATTTATAGCCTATCAGGAAGACAATTTGTAGTCTTATATAGAATACAAGACGTACCTAGTATAAAAATTGAAATAAAACTTACCGTAGCCCCTCGTTATATTCAGAGTTATTAGACTATACAATAACACACAAAGTGCTGTTCTCAAGATAATAACATTCATCGCTAATTGCCGTAATAAGGTTTTACTTAGATATTTCACGATGACTTTAAGAAAATTCTAACGACTGTTAGTCGTCATTTTTAGCCGTAGCATTTAAAGGGTGGACGGCGTCCCAAGATAAGTGTTTAAGATACTGTAGGGTTATATTCAATCTTGTAAGATAAATGACAAAGATTTAATAACAATGAAGTTGATACATTCTTAGTATTAGTACTAATGAAAGTAGGTCTCTGCTGAAAGGCTCAAAATAATAATCTAATCTTAGTTTTAAGCTATTAAGTTAGGAATAAATTGTTTACATACTTGACTCTACTCGAAAAAAATAGAACGCATTCCAGTGCCCTGGATATAAATTGACATT